TCTTAGCTGATCGCAGTCGTTCTTGACTAAGTTCTGAATTCCTGGATCTGAGATTTCAGTTGGTGGAGACAGTCAACATCATTTTTTGAGAAGGACTTTGTTCTGAAGATGATGGAGAGTGGGTGGAGAGGCCAAAGATGGAGGCCACTACAGCATCCCAGCCGTAAGTTTCCACATGGGCTTTCATGAGATTCAGTATTCATGAGAGCTGAACACCATTACCACCACCACCATACAACTAATTAAAATGAGATAGAAAATCATTCCCAGTGAAATATTAAATATTAACTTGACTGTGACTCTCAACATCTATCACTTGATAGACACTGTAATTAAGATAATAAAGTTTAAACGCATTAGTAGTTCTATTTAAAACATTGTTGCTGTGGAACAGATTCTTTTAAATGACAGTCTAATCTAATTCAGTTGAAGGTTTCTGCTTTGTCATTATTTAAGTTCCTTTGTAAACTTGGAAAATGAATGAATTATGTATAAATATAAAATTGTAGTCACATCTCCTCATAGTCACCATTTTCTGGTGAAAAGGGTTAATCTGTCACTTTTGATAGCCAAAGCATTATTCGCATTTACTGTAATACAGTCTACTCTAGCTTTTCTGACAATATAAACTGTAGAAAGCTGTACTTCCTGCAAATGCATTCTCCACAGCAAACAGAGACACCTGTAGTTTCCATCTGTGTACAGGGTATTATTGCAGACTCTATAAAGTTAAGAGTTAAAAATAAATGTCTTGTTTAGAATTGAAATGTTTTTTTTAAATAATGTCCAGAAATTGTACAACCAGGAAGAATGACAGTGTCAGTCGATAAGTAAGCCGTACAAAGTCCTTTAATGATGGTATTTCTTATGACAAGAGCAAATGAAGAAGAGATGTAACATTATTATAGAGCAACAGTCGGAGGATAGATGGGTCAAAAAGAAATTGGACCACTGTTTTGGATCATTCCCTAAACTTATCATAACCATGATGATGAAGGTCTTCTGACTTTATTAAAGTACTAATTCTAACTCAAATTATGATTTAACCTCTTAATAGAGTTGACAAAAGACGTATTTTGTCTTTTAATTTGGAAAACTCGTTGAATGTCCCCTCCCATTTAAAAAAAGAGATAACATAAACAGTGATTTTAGTTCAGCTATTCCATCGTTATTACTTTTATATACGTAGCTCCATCATCTATGACCAGCTTATAAACTTGGGCCCTTTCCATGATGAAATTTTATTCCCTTAAGTTATAGCTGTAACAGAGGTAATAAAACTATATAGACAGAGACACACTTAAAATTACATAAACCACAATAATCTATTGTCCGAGGTGCTGATCTTTTCTCTTTTTGTGTATAAACTTCAAAGAGGATGGTGACATTAGTGTCTTCCAACATGGTTTACGACAAATATGGTCTTTCACGTTCATCACTACTCAGACCTTATCTCTCCATGGGTTCTTCTGATAGTCATATACATCTATAATTCCAGCCTTTAACTTTCCCCTGCCTTCCATTTCTGCCTGTTTCCCCTCTTCCTCACACACTCCTCCCTCTCCCTATCAGCCACCTAAGGGCAGAGCAAAAGAGTCAAAGAGTACAATCTGTAGAATAGTAGTGGTTCTCATTTAAAATAGCAAAGCTCTTGTCTCTGTTTAGTGGTAAACATCAGGTGATCATTACCTCCTTGCTGAAGTCTGCTGACCTGAGGGGACAGTTCATCCTTAGAAACTCCTTGTATGACACTCTGAGTAATATCACCTTTCCCCAGAAAATTTGGTAATGTGCCTTCAGGATAATGACCGCTAGGGAGAAATTTAAGCCAGTGTTTCTGACTGATCTCTGTTCCGTTGTTGTCTGAAAATAGGTGCTGCTGATATGAGAGTCAGTCAATACCATTCCCCTTGAGAGGGTGTCAGAAATAGTACAGGTAAAATAATGAGTAGGTGTCTTTTAAAAGTGAAAGTTTCACCTTCGTTTTCTTTTTTTTCCCTATTTTTTTTCTTTTTGCGCTTCACTTACACAGAGCAAATGCTGGGAGAAAGGAAGAGATAGAGAGAGGAGGGAGAGAATAACAGAGAGTACATTACAGGGATGGGTGGCAAGGATGTATGCTGCCCCTAGGCCCTCACAGTGAGACCTGCCAAGTCTGATACACACACCTCTTTAGGGTACTCTTGGACCCTTGGGGGTAAATAATCAAACTTAACATGCTCCTATAAACACCAAACAATGACTATAATGAACATTGATGCTGGGTAAGGTAGGATGTGGTACAGTAGCTGTGGAGGGTTTGAGGCATAAACAACTGTGAGCATAGCTGTTGTACACAGAACCAAACAACGAGAAGTAGATTAAAGACTTATAGAGGAGGAGCCCACACGTAGCACTTACCTCGTTCAGGGATAAAGCATAAAAATAGTTTCCATTCAAATTTACATGATGCACAACATTTAGCATGTAGATGTTGCATCAGACCATCTGGGAAATAGACTTCCATTTGGGTTTAAATTTGTGGCTCAATGAGGCTTGTTTTGTACACTCAAGTCCAAATGCATTATCACCGGCACAGTGAAAGGAAAACTATTATTTCTCAGTTTCGATCTGTACCCCCAGAGCACTGAAAATGGATTAGATAAAGATCTATAGCTAGCAGAGAGCATGTACTGTACCTGAGCAATGAAGCTTATATTGCTTATTGTATTTAGAAAAGATAATGGGGATAATAGAATATACATGATACTGTTAATGTGGAGACACAGGGAGACAGATTTACAGTGGCAATCATTTAAACCGAAAGCAGCGAGAATCCTGGCACATTAAATGATTCCTTCACAGCGATGCACCCAAAACAATTTCTCGCTTGAGTGACCATACTCGCTCGTTCTGCAATCTGATTAAGCCAGCTCTCGGTCAGAGAGGAGACAAGAGAGGGTCTGTCTTTTCTCGGTACTCTCTCTCTCTCGCTTCTCTCTTTTTTTAAACCATCCATTCACTCTCCGTTTAATAACAGTCATCTGTAAGCATAATTGTAAGATTGATCTCAACATGCATGGGGTTAATGGTATCCATTTGTTAGAACAGTGTTTGTTCAATAAAATGGTCTCTTGAAGATGCAAGTTGCCAATGCTATCAACAGCTTCAAAGTATGGATAACACTAGGCTAAACTCTGCAAATGGAATAACTCAAATACTGTGTGGATGCATTTATAGAGATATATATGTGCATCTGGTTTGTGTTTAGGAAATATGTATGTAATGTCCACACTAGCTGACAGACACACGTACAAGAGCAAAATTAGTATGAGTGATACTTTTAATGATGAGAATATTAAAAAGGAAAAAAAATGCTTACCAAAGGCTGATTATTTGACTATAATTGCTTTGTTTAGAATAAAGATCTATTTGGTACTTTGGCTGTTTTGTAAAATTGTAGTTTTCCTGAGAAGCTTTATTGGCATTGTACAGCTTCACAAACTGTACACTTTCAAATCTGGGAGCTGCTCTGTAAAACAATATTTAATGGTCATACATTAAGACAGATGTCTGGTAATGGGGATAGTTTTTTTTGTTGAAACCACTGACAGCAGTTCACCAGCATTTAGTGTTTAATTAGTAAGAAGGAAAAAGAGTTGCATGCTACCTATACAGGCCTCACAAAAGACATTTTGACATGTCACAGAAGGAAAAACGCAGCTGTAAATAATAAATAAATTGTGGCTGAATTCCATTTAGCTGTTTCAGTTCCAGGGTCCAGGTATTTTTCTTGCAGGTTCAATGTCACACTGTCGTGGTTTGCTGGGTCACTTATATAGAACAGAGCAATTGTTACCAGGAATCATTAAAGTGACCAACAGTGCTTTCAATGTATGGACAAGTGAAGATTATTTTAAGCCATACTTGAACAAAATGTGAACCTATCCTTTACTATTACTGTATTACAGCATGAGTCTTCACACTGTGTCTAATGCATGGTAACCCTTCCTATTAGTCACACTAAGTAGTATATAATTGCAATTAAAATACAAATAAGGATACGTCATTTACCAAATAATTAAAGCCATTACTAGAGAGGAAAAAACTTATGGTGATTTAGTTAAAACACTTATTGTGTGACTCATCAGTTCAAGTAATTGCACTGTGGGATTAGGATGGGAGAAAAGTTTAATTGTAGACTTTCAGGATTGCCTTAAATTTAAACATTTTTCTGTAATTGTATTTTTTAAACCACTTAGTTGAAATATGTTTTTATAATTTTTCTTATTAGTCTTACCTAGTACTTTAAGCTATACAAGAAAATGTTGCAAATATAGCTGATTTGGCAACCCAGATATTGATATCCACAAGATATTGTCAGTTACAGAGGCCGTTTCAGAGCCACCATTGTTTCTCCCACTACCTTGGAAGGTGAGCGGTTATTCAGCTAATTGCAATCTGCAACTTCACCTATAGACTTAAGTAACTTTCTCATGTTTTGTCTATAAAAACTTTAATTTGTAGTTTGATTTTGTCTTCTTGGATTCAAGGTCCCTGTGCGTTGTCTGTTCTGAATAAACGTCTCAGTCATTCTGTGGTGTGAAAAGCTAATTTTTTTATATTTTTCCATAGTAAGTACTCTTTAGATCAGATTTTCAAATAGATTGACTCAGATGCCACGAGTCATGGAGTCAGACTGAAGTTTTAGTGCTCAACTAAGAACTTAGGCTTGCACAGACACATCCAGCACACACATTAACACATATTCAATCAACAATATAAAGAAGCACACAATAGCAAGGTATTTCAAGGTGATACAACTCTAAGCTTAGTAATCATAGATATATATTGACAATGGTAAAGGTTTTCAGGATGACAGCAACAGACGTCAAATGTCATGTTTATTTTTCAACACTGATGAACTCGGCTCCAGTCCAATGACAGGCAGTCCTACAACTATCTAACAACTCCCCCACACACACACAGCGCTCACTCTCTCTTTCTCTCTGTAACACACACAACACACAGTGCTCCGCACAGGCTCCAACTACCTTCTATTCTGGTGATCATAATTATTTGATGACAGAGCTTCTGGTTTCTCAACCACGCTTTTGTACACACGATCTAGCTGTGAATAATTTAGCGCGGGGAGCTAGAAAGGTGGTCCCTTAAAGCAGCAGGTACAGTCAAACTCAGGAGGCAGGACACACTGAGAGAGCTTTATCTTTATCTTTATCTCGTCATCCACCCACTCCTTACGCACAGCTCTTCAGTCGGGTTCTCATCCACCCTGTATTTCTATCAAGCTGAATTCATATTTCATCCATCCATCCGTGCATTCTTTCATCACACCAGACACCACAGTGTTCAGCTGATGTCAATTCGCCCCAGGTAAGGACCTTCTTGGATGGACTGACGCCCTCTCAGCACCCCCTCCTCAATCAGCCACCATGGAGGAACTCCAGAGAAAACTGGATCAACGGTATCCAGGCACCAAGCCCAGAAAGGTGAGTTGTTTACAGCACCACCTCAAATTCATGGGTTTTGAAGTTATTTTATAAATGTAATGTGTTGAGTAAAAGACATATTGAGGTCATTGCTAAGTTTTCTGTTTAAATTACTTTTTATGCGGTTGCTTTAATATTAGTGGTATTGATTTATGTTATACCACACAACCAGCTGAAGCTGGTGTGCTTGAGGATAGTTCTTAGCTTCTAACCATATCTGATATTGACAAACTGCAAACTGAGAAAGGGAATGAAACATAATGTTAGCTTTTATGTTGAAGTCCTACAAATATGTGCCCCTCTTGTCTAATCAAACAGAATTTAATAAATACCAATCATAAATCTTCTTTTCTATGCTAAAAAGCTGTGCACATTAGTTACTGTAACATGGCAGTGCATCTTTTCAGCATGTAAAACCTTGCAAGTCCAACATGTCACCTTCAACTTAAAACCACAGGTAAGGTTCAAGTTGGCGTCGTCCTACAGCGGTCGGGTGCTGAAGCACGTGTATGAGGACGGCCAGGAGCTGGACAGTCCAGAGGAAAAATACCCTCATAGCTTCGTTCACCGCAAGATCCCTCCCAGCCACCTGGAGGTGGAGCAGCTCTGTGGGTTTGAGGATACTCATGGGGACCAACAGGGTGGGTTTTTATCTTGTGTAACATAGTGTAATACTGTGTCATTAAATGCATGATTGCATTGAGGTTTGTTTGTGTGGGCCATACAGTTCTGTAAGCTGGTAACCAGGGAGACAAACAAGATGTGTAATTTGTGGTACTACAGTTTAATGGTTTCCATGCAATTATTTGGGTGTTAATGATGGACATCTCAATCACACAATTACAGACTTAATAGTCCACCTGTCAGCCATGGCATGTTCTTTTTTGTTTATTTTACTGATAAGTAGAACATGCTGAGCAATCAACAGTTAGCAATCTACCCAAAATAAAATGTAGTTGATTCCCAACTGAAAATATTTTCAGTCTGCTATTTTTAATATGCATGAAATTATGGCAACATAACCAGAGGAGGTCAATCAAACTGTGACCTTGGAACACTTCCAGTTTAAAAGATGAAATGCTCAAATACTAAGCCATTTGAGTATGCTTTTTAAAATATATCTATATATTTTTTCATGTTTTACTGTATTAAAAATGCATCTATTTACCCAAAACATTGTTAGAATAATTATAGTGTGTAGATAATTAAATTGTGGACATTATGGGGAAAAAAGCTGATGTGTGTTGTTGCAGAGAGTTACATTTGAAGACTGATCTGTCTATCTATCTATCATGTCTTGGCTGACCAGTAATTTCCAGAAATCTCCACTGGTGGTCCGGCAATTTTAGTGTGCTTGTTAAAACATTTTTAATATCTATATTTAATTTTGTATTTCTAGTAAATGCACAATTTAACAAACAAAATAGTAGACTGAGTACATTGTTAAGACAGAGGATTTGGTAAAGCTAGGATACTACGACTGGCTAACACACCTAGTGTGGGTGGTCACAGTTAGGTAGAGACTGGTAACTTATGATTGGTCAATATAAGCTGTTGTTTCAGAGTCTAACATGACACTGATAAATTCAGGCAAGCACACCAATATATTAGAAATAGGGATTATTATTCTGAAACCCCAAGAGACTGAAAAATGTCCCTTTGACCCAAAAGCCCATTATCCTGAAAACCTGAAGGACTGTTTTTCTAAACATACACACTCTTTCTTACTGTGGACTTTCACGGTAACAATAGTGAGGTGACATTCATTGGCATGGTAACAATAATAAAGATGTTGGTAACGTAACGTTTAACGTGAAATGGGTCACAGTTTGGTCAGGTTTAGGCATCATAAATACTTGGTTAGGTTTAGGAAAAGAACAGGCTGTCAGACAAATGGGCTTTCACTTTTGGTCTTCATCGGTCAATCGTTGTCCCATACTGGCAGAAAGAAAAGGGCACATGAATGACACCATATATGGTCCATAAACTGGAGAAATTCAACTAAGGTGTTGTAGTAAGTTTGCACAGAAGAGGCCTTATAGAGTAACCTAGGTATTCTTAAAACTGGACCTTATTTTCTCATATTTTGTGTCAAAAGGACTAATGGGGATAACAAGTTCTGAATTTGGTCCAGTAGTGAGTGAGATCATTGCACCCTTTTGTCCCTGAGCAGCTCAGATTGTTATTATAGGTGTCTGATAACACAACCCTACAGAGAAATTAAGTGATAAATTAAAGAGATGAGGTGACTTGTTGCAAGAAGACAACACTGAAACTTGAGCGTAATACCGGCTTGGAAGAGTTTGTTGTTGGCAGTACAGAAAGTGTAGCTTAGTGTTATGTCAAAGATTTTCAATGACATGGCTGAGGTGTGGATGAGGCCTTTGAATTCGATGACCACCTCCAGCAGCACTCTTACTCAATACTGAACCAAATTCAAGAAGCTCTTTCCCCATTGCTCACAAAAACATGTGAAAAATAAGGTCTACGTTAAAAAAAAGTTATACTTACTAAAATGTTCGAATTTGATATGTGCCATACTTTAAGAAGACTTAGATTTTAACCCCGATGAAGGCCACAAGCTGAAATGCTTTGGTCTAACAATACAATTGTTCTATATAATACAAGTGTTGCTGGAGCTTTTACCTCTTCAGACTTTGTTCCTTTCTTCATGGACCTTGGAAGCAAGTAAGGTTGTGCCAGAAACCCCTACTCTTTTTTTAGTCCCAGTCGAGGTTTCAGAATAATGGGCCATTGGTAGAGTTTCAATACGTGCGGTTTGTGGCTGAAACCAGTACTTGAGTCTCAAATCTCCGGTACAAGTTCTCACTTTATCCTGACAACATGTTTTATTCTATACCCAGCAGGTGTCTATCCTCCAACAGGGCTCATTGCCCAGAGAATAAACGTGTACAGAGGAATGGGAAGCTACAAGTCTGTTGCAGGCCTGACTGAGGAATCAGAGGGAGATGCCACAGTAAGAAATGCTGCTCGCTGGTTTTGATTTTGCTAAATTTTTCTATTAATCAAGATCAACTTTGATTAGATTTCCCACTAGCAGTGTCAGTTTTGTCTGAATGTCAAGTACTTAAACCTATCTTAACTGTCTTAATTCATTCTCCAGTGCAGCTTAAATTAACTAGAATTGAAAATAATAAAATATTGCTGAATGTTGATTAAAATGTCCATCATGTTAACAGTTTAATGAGATCATAAAAAACTGTTGGTAACAAAACTACCACATTACATCGTGATGTACAGTGATATAACTTTATTGGGATTATAAGCATCCTGAGAGAAATAATTAGTATAGTTAACATAAAGAATAAGAATAATAAACAGCAGTGACTGACCCTATTCTTCCTATGTGTGGCTTTTTTTTAAAAAAGGTGTGTGTGTGCATGTTTATGTGTGTGTTGTGCATGTGAACTGCCTTGGATTCATGTATTTTTTTTCCCTTTATTGTTGGAAATTGCATTTTTAGTGTCACCAGAAACATTGTCAGTTCAACGTATGTACTAATTTATGGATGGGATATTTAGAATTACTGCTTTTTCAAACAACACCTACAGAAAAAAATCAGTTAACACCTTAAAATTAGGATTTTGTGTTGCTGACACCCTTTGAATGGATAAATAACAAAGTTTTGGAACATGACCATTATGCAACGTCTCTTTGCATGTACATACATAAAGGGAATTATAATAAGAAAGTATCACAGCTCCTTGTAAGAGTTGGTGATTCTTTTTCATAGCCCACAGAGCATTGCTAGTCTACATATGCTGAAAAGCAAACAGATACACCAAAATAAACCCATATGCAATTACCAGCCAATGAAAAGTAATTTAATAATTAATTCACACATCTTTAGAACAGAACAAGCAATCAAGACTTAAAATAGAAAAGTGGTGAGAATCCATGGGTAATTAAAGCATGCTGCTCAGTGGCAATTGTACAACAATTACAGTGGAACAATAACAGCAACAAAATTGTTCATCTGACGGGAAAATAGCCACTGTTAGTGAGCTGCTGTGGCAGCGGCTTCATTAGTGCAGCAGGCTGAGAGGGAGGTCAGCTACATCGCCTGCTGGCTTAGTGTCAGTTTCATTCTTTTATCCTCTAAACAAAGGCACGCATGGCCCTGGTGACCAAGGCCAGTATTTATCACATTTATCAGTGGAAAACAGCAATCTGGATTTAGTTTATCCTTTTAGGGCGTTATTGAAAGGATGGTACAGTGGTCCTGGAACATCCCTACTGTACAAGATCTAATGAGTTCCTCCCTGTATGAGTGCAGTGTTTTCTTTTTTTATAATAACTGAGAAACAGTTTGTTATGTGATTTTCATTTCTGAATGTTTGAAAAATGCAACTTATCAGATCATTTTGAAAAGTTCCAAAACAGAGACTTGGGTTAGAAACTGAAATTGGAAAGACATAAATGTCAGAGACTAGCAAATTAATCACACTGGTCACTGGTAAAATTCAACAACATATGATATTGCGAAATGGGAGGAGCTATTCCAGGCTCCCCTGGCTCTCATGAAGTGAAAAGTCGATTAATTAATAATTGAATTTAATGCATTAATTTATCTGAGTCACGTTTCCCATAGACAGTGTTATTTAAATCATCAGTGCAAAAGATAAGCAGCTGTGTTAAAAAAAAATCTTGTTCTTCAATAAAAGGTACAAGCTTATGAACATAAAAACTTCAAGGTAGCAGTTATTATTCCCAAGGTGAATTTTGGCAAGAAACCAATCACAGAGCTTAAAACTCTGTTACGTTTGCTGCTGATGCCATGTAGAAGCTAACGTTTAGTAGTACTGAGAAAACAGCTTAATACAGTTACAGTTAAATTGTGGCTAATTTTTGGGGATTAATTCAGCAACCATAATGCCATGTTTTGTTTCCAACTGCAAAGATAAAGCTCTCTCGTTCTTCTCCGTGGCAACAGTGGCTGAGGCTCATATTGTAGTAGTTTGAGCCATCATCAAATTCTGCATCCCGGGGACAACCAAATATAGCTTATATGAACTGAATTAAATGAAACAAATACATGAATAAATATAACAGTTGAGATATCAATGGATCCTATATTTTGCTTGTATGAAAATGTATTTTGTCTTCAGACTAGCATCAGGAAATCTGTGTTAAAAGTTTAAAATTTCTCCAGCATCAGAATCCTCAGTAGACCAGAGCACAGCTACAAAGCATGTTGTGTTTTGCACAATGGGTGTGACTCTTCAGCTGCATTCAACTCGAAAACCTCTTCTCACCCAAACATAAAGCCCACAGCTAAATGGGGGCGTGCTCTCTCTGAGTTGCAGGAAATAAATCTGGGAAATGTAGGAAATATCTAACACAGGTAAAGGCTAATTAAAATACTATAAAAACAATGTTTCCGTCAATAATACCTGATGTAGGATATTAACTGATTTTCTGTTTCCTTCAGTCTTCAGTGTTGGACTTTGGCAAAATAATTATCTACACCAGCAACCTGCGCATCATCAGAGCACCACCGAGGAAGCCCGAAGTTCTGCGGCACCACACAGTGCCTCCTGTGGACTTGGAGGGATACCCAAAGGCCAAGGAGAGGGGGAGCAGGAGGAGGGCTAAAGCTCTTTGTACACAGGATGGAGAGGAGAAGGAGAAGGAGGAGAAACAGATCAGTGACACAGAGACCAAGGTAATGATCCTTGGCCAAATTATTCTCAGTGGTGCGGTAGAGTTTTTATCACCCCGTTTCTGTTTCTTGGTTTTCTCCTCCTCCTCCCCCTCTCTCTCTTTATATTTTCTTTCAAGAGAATAACTGCAGGATTGTCTGTGCAGTCATATATTTGTAATTGTAACTGTTCACAGAGGGGTGTTTATTCTCATCCCACAATCTCCTCTGTTTTCAACAACCACCTTATTTGTGCCCCTTCCTTTTTCTTTTCCTTTTGCCCCCTCCTGCTATAACAACTACCTTCCCATTGTCCTAGTGTTATCTGTCAACTGTGAACAGATACTGATGAGTCCACAGTTTTGTTCTGCCCTTGCAGCATTTGCCTGCCACTTGCAAGCCTGCAAGGATACCCAGCTCGCTATTATCCCCTCCCTCTCACCTCCTTGGCTGATTACTGTTCTCTTCCTCTCACTCCCCCCATTCTTTTCTCACCTCTCTTGTTATTTTCTCATTTTCTCTACCTCTAGAAAACAAAGTTCATTCTCAGCTTTTTTTCATTATTTCGCAATCTTACTCCTCTTTGTTACTTTCTTTTCTTTATCATCGTTACCTTTGTAGTCCAAACTCCAAGGTAGTTAATTTTTCACTGTCTTCATTTCTAACACATGATTAGATTTATACTTTGTAGGTGCACACATTTTGAAACTGGCTGTTTACCCAGTCTGGACCTAGATTTAGCTATTGCTACAACAGCTAAACATCACAATATAGCGGGTGAATATATCACTATAGTATGTGCAGCTTAAACTAATACAGGTGTAGATGCAAGTCAAAGCATCAACGTTCATAAACATAAAATTCTTGTGTTTAGTTTTGCCTTATAAACTTCAACTGGGTTAACTTTTGTGGCTGCTTGCTGCTGGAAACAACGTCACAACAGTGACAGGTGTCTTTTTTTGAGGTTCCATTGATTGTTTGTAGTGCATTTCAGCAGTGCATTTCAGTAGCAAACGTTTGTGGCTCCACAGCAGTAACGCTCTTGGTGCGGTCACCTCAGGCGTGCAGGCCGCAGCAGTTCAGCGAGGCGACCATCACGCACTGCTCAGCTAGATTTTGACAAGTAGTCTTAACAAACAAATCCTACAAACTCGATAATATTTTTCTTACTTTATGTCACTCTCTGTTTTCCGATTTGAGAAAGAAATTGTTAAAGACTGTTAAAATGTCAGATCTTGACTTTACTGACTTTTATCTGTACAAAGTTTGTCACTAGAGTGTGTGTTCACACTCCTCCATTGAAGAGGGAGATGTCTGTAAACAATCTGAGATTGGACCCTGGAAAAGCTAGATTTGGTACAAAGCAAATTGCTGGCTAGTAAATGCCACCAGCAAAGAAACCTGAAACCTCCAGTGCAGACTGGACTTTGCAATAGTACGGTGGTTTGTGGCACTGAAATACTTGAAACCTCTTACTGGTTACTCAGGGAACACAGACCTTGCAGTGCAGTGTTCCCCGATAACTATTTTTTAGTGATTTACAACAGTAGTCTGTAAAGATTTAACCTCGTTGCACATCTTCTGTTACTATCCACCCCTTGCATCGTCGATAATCTACAGGCAGCTGCTCGTTATTGTAAATTTTGCTATAATGACCAGCTGGCTGTAAAAATGACCGGCTGGCTGTACATTAAGCTGCAACACAGCTATTTACCAAAGGCATTTCATTATAAATAATACTGGAAAATCCTCTATGTCATTAAAGTTGTTTAGTGTTTGCCAGCAGGCAGGCCAGTTAAAGTAGATAGCTGTGTTAATGCACACTGTTAATGAAGTGGCCAAAGGTGTTGCAAGTTAATCAGTTTTGAGACAGTTGCAGTAATATAGAAAATAGGATATTACAGATTACTAATGCATTTGACTGTACATTTAAATACATTATATACAGCATTTGTTAAGATATGGCTGAAAAAGATTTTCCCCTCACTTTCAACTTCTTCCTCACCCATTCCAACCTCTTCCTCCCCTTTTTCACCCTTTGCCTGACCTTACAGTTCCTCTCTTTCACCTCCTCCTTCTCCTCCTCTTCTCTCCTCTAATGTGTTTCTTCTGTCTCCAGGAGGCCGACAGCTGCCAGCATTGTGGTGGTTCGGGCTGCGCTCCCTGCTCTCTGTGTCACGGTAGCAAGCTGTCCATGCTGGCGAACCGCTTCAATGAGTCCATCAGTGATCTGCGTTGCCAAGCCTGCTACCCCCATGGTCTGGAGAGGTGCCAGTCCTGCTCCAGCAAATAGCACTGTTTGGCTGACACCCATGTCTGGCAGAGAGAAAGTGAGTGAGTGAATGAGAGTGTGTAGCTGTGAGTGAGTGTATGTCCGATGTGCTATCGGTTTGTCAGAATTGTCTCAGCCGCAGTATTGCTCTAATCCAAAATGTTCTTGGTGGGGTGTTTCGAGTCACTACTAGGAAACATAAGCCATCATTGGAAAGGGGAATTGTGACTGTGCAGCGGGCACAAAATCATAAAATACAATTACTGTGTGCAGTGAACATGGCTTGCGATAACACAAACACATAATCACTTTTTTGTTGTCACATTATTTAGCATCTGCACGCTTCTTCCTGATAAAACCGGGTTCCACGACAGAGTTATCATTTTAATTAAAATGATGCAAACATTTTCCGTTTTATTTCATACTGGGAAGGCTGCCCTGTTCCTATCTCCACTCTCTATTCAACAGAAAGAATAAAGCCTTTTATATCCCAACATGATGTACTGTATGAGGGTAATTGATGCTTTCATTTTCGTTCAGGAAAAAAGATACTTGAAGATAGAGAGTTTGGGATATAAAGACAGGAAAAGGAAAAAATGTGAGTGAGAAATAAGACAAACGGTCCATTATTAAAGTGCACTCTACCCATCAAAATGCGAAATGCACTGTAATATGATGACACAGAAGTGGTGTTAGCAGCATTATGAACTCAAGCTGACCACAGCTACTGTTGTTATTCAGGAAAGAAGTCACTAACTTTTTAAAGCCACATTTTAAGTCAGAAATGTAGATTTTTGTATCACATAAAGACATTTTTATTGTGAAACAGTTGAGATAGAGATAAGAAGAAAATAAGAAGGGGTTAAATAATGATGATGATGTTTTTAATAATTTATTTTATTCTCAGGTTAATGCCATTCCAACTTGTTTCAAAGCTTTATCCACAAAGTTTTGGTATATGAATAAAATGAAACTACAAATTAATTTTCAATGCCTCTTCTTTTATTGTGTCCAATTATTGAAAGTAGCTTGTGCTTTATTTGTTTTGCATTAGGTTATGAACACAGGATTATCATAAAACAACACCCCAAAATGTCCACGATGACTGATATCTTAAACTAAATGTCGCAAATCTAGTCAACGATTCATTCCCTTGCTTCTCCAGTAAACCTCAGATGAGTCAGACGTGTCACTACCATATCAGACATGTTCAAAAATCTCATTGTATCCTGGAGTCTGAACTGCATCATAATTCTCTTGGCAATGTCTGTGACTGCTATGTGTGAAAGTCATTCCTTAAACGTTTGATGTGTTTTCACAGTGGGTTAGGAATGTTTGTTTGTGTGTTCCCAGCTTGAAAACTGAATGAAACATAACAATAAATGCAACACGCTGCATAATTCCTAGTCATTACATCTTAGCCATTACATATCAAGTCAACTGCAATCAACCACAATGTTTTGTATATCTTGGCATTTCAGGATGATTTCACAGAAAATGAAGAACAAAATTAAAAAATATCGCCTCAATAACAAACGGTTGTAATAGTACGTATTCACATTGCTATTGTCAGCTCTGAGTTATCACCTTCATTCAATTATGCATTTTGTGTATGGCAACACAGCATCCAGATTACATTAACCCAGCTAATATAAATTCTCCCTGTAAGATTTAAACATTAGATGTTACCTAAAATGTGTTGGTTTTGTAAGATCCTGTGTATGACTTCTGTTTGAAGATGGGTATATGTGGAGTTATTAGTTTTCCTTTTTTTTTCAAAACAATACGGTAAAAACCTATTCTAATATGCCTACCTGCTCCGTAATCAGATATGAACTGCACTGAGCCGTAGGATATTTTGCAATGGCTGCTGAAATGGCATTTTCACCACTATCCTTATGCTGCAAGGCAGAGATGATCAATCAAAATCAGTGTTAGCACTGGAGAGCACTGACCACATCCTCTAGTGTGTGTCAGCACCCCAAAGTTAGGCCAGAACAAGCATCCCAGACCATTAGAGCCCACTATTCCGGCCCCTATATCTATCTTTGTGCTGGCATTTCCATTATTTTTGTCTTATTATGTTAGATAGCCTCACACTCAGTTAAAGAGCAGACTATGGCTTATCAGCACACTGGCCAAAAGCCCCATCAGCAATGAAATACCTGCTATTTCGGGGATGAGAGGAAGACCCAGAATCTTCAGTCTCCCCCTTCTCTCTTGCTCTCTTGCTCTGTTTATCTCCCTCTCTGTCTCTCTCTCTCTCTCTTGCTATCTCGCTCTCTGACTGGTCTGCTAAAAAATCTGCTACCTATTCTGCAGTTAAAATTTAGCTTTTTAACTTTGTCATTTTAGCTCCCATTCGCACTCAGTATTCCACAAGGGAGCCAGAGTGATGGAAAATCACAGAACTGTTTATGGCCTCTTCTGTCCCGCAGGACCTTAAGTGATAAGGGAGCAGGTAAAAACACACAAGTGTTGCACTGGATGCTGTGGGCTCATGCAGGAAAGGGGAATTCAGACAAATATAGAGAGATAATCAGTGATGCATGAAGATCACACACTTTGTAGTTGTAGAATGATTTTTCTGTGCACATTCTGTCCCATATTTAGGCCAGGAGAAGTAAAGGAAATGCAGTAAAGAAAAGGGGCAGAGAGCATCTGCACACTGAATTATATCTCCAAAACGTTATTAGTATGAACAGACCATGTTTCAACACACCAGGCATGACATGACAAAGTGCAACATATATAGGCACAGAAGTGATTGCATGGTGGTTATGTCAAAGTAAACTAATCAAATACAAATTCAGTTATCAAATTAATCACAAAAAATATATAAATGCAAAATATATAGCATAAAATGACAACATTTTACAAGACAAAATGGTAAAGAAAGAAAACCATGCCCCCAAAATGTAATCTTGAATTTACAAGATGACCAATCACATCACGAATTTGGACAATATTTCAATAAAAACATCTAAAATCGATTTATAACGACTGAGTCGTAGTAGCAGCATTTTAAAGAGGAGAGGTTTACAAGAAGGGGTTAATATCTAAATCCTCACTGAGACCTCTGGCAGACAGGATACTGGATACTAAGAATGTATCTAATGTATCTCAGTGCACTTACATAATGAAAAATGACATTTTGATGAAACATTGCCTGCGGTGTCTAACAAAGTTCAGGAGCTATAATCCAGTGTGTGATACTCCTGGTATTTTTCTACCCATCTAATCTGAATTTGTTTTCTTCAAAACACCTGGAAAATGTGCTTGGTAAAAAACATCAATAAATGTGACTCGACTTAATAGACCAAAATTGTAATGTTTTGACAGTGATAATAACCCTCTATTAATAACATAGAGCTCTTAATCTGTCCACAATTTTACAGTTCTTCAAAGCAATACTGCAAAGATCTTGCAGGCTTTTACTGACTTATTCACAGCCTTAACTTATGTTTACTGTACTATGGTGGGTGGACACACATGCCCACGCATGTGTCAAGCCACTTGTGATATACTGTGGAGCATTACATAAAATGGTAATTTATTTGAGATTTCCATTATAAAATAATGCCTTGTTTAATCACAGCAGCTAGCAAACAACGTCTTATGAATACAAAGAAAACCCTTTACCTAATGGCAGCATCATCATTTATGATGCTTTATAGATATATGTGATATCTCATAGCCCATTTTTAATATACGACACAGGAAGCAGACTGGGAGCAGACTTTGTACATTAATCATAAACTCTCATGCAAGAATATTTTGCATTGTGTGGGGAAGTGAGCTACATTTAATCTCCAAACCCTTTAACTTTCTCTATTTGGTTACTACTGAGCATTCTCTCCTCTTGTCTGTGTCTTTTTAACTCACTCCCTCTCCATCAAATTACTTCACTTCACTAAAAAAGGCAGACACAAAGAAAAACAAGATTGTCATTTAAAAGCATCAGAATACAACAAAAAAATCACAATTAAATGAAATAACTGTTTTTTTTATTTTTCAGTGGAACTTTTGTCAGTACCAATACTTATTTAAGTGCCAAGACAAATTTTTGAAAGTGTTTTCAGAATTTCATGTTTTGTTTTGAATGCAAAATGTTATTTTCAATGGCAAAATTGAATGTCACTGTTCTGAGCTTTTTTCCATTGCAATCTGTACTAATTTGTTCATAAAACACGCACATTTGATGTTAGATTCATTCAAAGGGAATTGTTTGTCATTAAATATATCTAAATATAATACATATACATAAATACTGTGGTGTTGCTGTAGGGAAGAGTTTGGGGTGGATGGCTGGGTGTAGAAAGCAATGTCATTTGAATATGGGAGATGGCTGTTGCATATCTTTTGTCTGACCAAAAGTCAGTGTTGATATATTTTCCTAACCTCTTTCTTACTCATTCCCTCTCCATCACTTTACTTCACTTTATATCACAACATTTTCCATCATTATAATTAATTAATTTATCATGTGTAAATCATCAGCAACCCAACTTATTGTAGCCTATAACTTGCCATTAATAAGCAGTTTTTGTCTAAAGCATTGTTTTGCAAAATGCTGAAACCTCCTCCAGACCCCCAAATATGTAAATATTTATATAATTCAAAAGCATATGTCAGTTATGAGGTCAGTACAGTAACACAATGTATCAAGTGATCTTTTATTGTGTTTTTATTCTATTCACTATTTTGTCTCACATTTTTTCACATTATCATGAAAGTAAGTGTATAAAGAAACACTTTTTATTCTGACCTCTAGAATCAAATATACATACAATTATTTAAGCATTATGCTCAGTATATTTTTCAATGTATTTATTTGAATCAAATAATAGGAGTTACTGGAAGGATGGATTCAATGGACCGCAAAGTGGGGCCAGCCGTAAAAACATGAAAGTCTGCCCCTGTCTGACTCACTATTGGTCGGTTGAGTGTTGGAGTCAAAATGAATAGGTGTGAATGGTCCTGAGTTACGTCCTGAGGACCACAGTGACTGTGCACAGTCCAACCATGTACAGGTAGCTCATGTAAAGTTAGGGTTACAATTTTAAATGCTTGCAAATAATATCATTTTTCACATTAGACACATAATTTCATGTATAGGCACATGGTTTTAAGACTTTCACACGTGATGTGGTAATTCTGCAAATGTAATACATCACACATGAAAACATAAACCTCACACATCTAAGTACAATATTTTATACAAATTTAATAAGATTTCACATATGATAAATTCACATACTCTGTGAGAGCATGAGAATTTCACGTAGTAGATTTGTTTAAAGATTGTGTCGATCAGCTTCCAATGTCTTAAGCACAGAGAAAACACTTCCACGACGTAAGAAGACACGTGAGTTTTGTCTCGATGTTCTCTTCCTCTGGGGTGTTGGGTTTTCTGCCTTTTGGTATAATTGTACTTGATGCATTATGTATGCACCTTGTTTTAGTATAAGAGACAACACTATCAAATATCACTGTCTTTGTATATGACATTGACACTTCAACATCATGTGTCCTGATGTAAGCAATGCCTACCTGGTCAATTGCACTGCATGAAAGTGTCAGCTTGAAACGGAATTTATAAAGCAATCCCATAAACGTTTGTATCATGTGAAATTAACCTCCCTTATCATAGTGTACTCGGAATCTGCTGTCAAGAAAAGTCTATATGGAAACATCCAGAATACTAAAAGCATTCTTAGTCAGTGGTGTTGAAGAGACACTAAAACTGTGACGAATCTTTCAAA